TAAATTGTACAATTTAAAAATACTTTGTCTTTTCCTGGTTTGGACCAGTAAACTACATAACAGTAGGCTGGGACACACAGTTTACATCTGGGGAGGCGTGCCAATCAATAATTTTACTTTTGGAAAGGAATCAACGACTGTGCAGGTTTTAAACCCTAAGGAGGGAGGGAAGGCCTGAGCATCTTTTATTTTGTAATTTGTACCTATAATTATGTACTATATATGTATTTAATTCCTATTCTGTTTGAGTTGTATGTCTTTTGTATTTTACAACACATTTTATGTATTTTATAAATGTTGCTGTTTAAAAAAGAACTGTTACATAATATTGTTATATATTGCCGACATGACGTTGCCTTGCAATAAAATATCTTTACAACACAGAACAAGGTGTGTTATTTTTCACATGATTTAGATTTGTATTTTGTGTTATACCGACCTGAGGATTCAAAACATGAAATGAAGCTACGTCACATCAGCTTTCCATCAGGCCAGTAAACAAGGATACATCAATCTGATGTGGAAATGGTATCAGAGCAGCTTCTTATTAGGGCACATAAGCTATTGGCCACGATGTGGCTGAGTCACACTGAATGTTAATGCCATTATAAAATGTACTGTTTCTGCAAAGCTTTTACTGACATCCATTCAGACAAAGTGGGCTGCCAACTCAGTTTTTAGTGCCATAGCAATCTCTGCCCTCATGTTACCTTTCATAAAATGATTCCAAAGAGAGAGCAGACCCATCTACATTTTTTCACATTACCATACAAATACAAGCCTTCTGTTAAATTTTACTATTACTGCTTGATCTGTACTTGTACAGCAGGTGTTTTGAATATATTTGAATTTGGACTATGAACAGAGTTTCATTTCACTTTTTTATTGCTCACTTTTTAAAAAAAACAACCATTTTTTAATATTGGCATAACCCTGCACTGGTTGACCTGACCACAGTGGTGGACACTGATACACACAAACCCACACATTTTCCCAGACTTACACAGCAATATGATAGCACACAGGAGGATGGCGATGAGTGCTCCAGTGCTGAGGCCAGGAGAGCTGCTCAGAGCCTCGGTGTTACACAGCTCCATGTTGCCTTCGCGATCGCACGTGCACACCCTCACAGTGAGGGTCCCCGTGCTGCTCTGCATGGGGTACTCGCCATCAGTGATCACTACGAGAACCAGGTAAACGCTCTGGTGAAGACGGCTGTAGCTGGCTCGACGTGTCAGGATGCTGGCAGTGTTATCTGAGTTAGAGAAAGTTCTGTTAGAAGATCACTGTAGCACACCTGGAGAGCACGGTGTGTGTGTATGATGTTAAAATCTATTTATTACCAGGTCGTGAAGAAAAATGTGAGTTCAACAATGAGATGATAGAGACATGTGGTCCACGTTAGACTAAACATGTTTATTTTTTTACCCGTTACTTTATCTGAAGCAGTTGTCAGGATGACAGAAACAACTGTACATATAATTTACCCATTTTAAAAAGTGTATTTAGTGTTAAGTTGCTCTGAGTAAGCCAAGCACTCTAAGTGCTACTGTGGGATTAAAAGTGGGTATAGTAGGCAGTGTAAACAACAGTGTAGCCAATAGTGCACATTGGCTGGATTAGGGATGCAGGGAGTGAGTTTAATGCACTTGTATCAGTAATCAGTAACCCTGTGTCCTACCTCCATTGTCTCGAACAGTGAAGTTGCTGCGGTGTGTCCCCTCAGGTGCCAAGCTGAAATAAAACTTGTGTCCCGCTGAGGGCTCATCAGCATCGACAGCACTCACTGTCTGGATCCCCTGTCAGAGACACCAGCATCCATTAACATGAACATCCCAGTGGAGTTAAGTGAATTAACAGTATTCAATGTGGAATACTGGCTGTACCAAATCAGCCACCAGTATCTCTGTCAGCAACACAGACCACAAAATAATACAAGTATATTACACTGAATTTGGATAGTAAGCAGACTGCACAATGCAGCTTGGTTTGCTGAATCATGCACAACAACCTGTTCAATAAAGAAAACAATATTTCAAACTTACTATGTGTCAACCATCTGATATAAATATTATCCCAGTGCTGTTGCCGATGCTGCTAATCAACACGTTTTTCTTTCCCGTCATTATACGCCATTTTGTTTGTGTTCTAAGTTCTTTGCTCTCCTTCAGTATTTCAGATATTTTTCTTAAAATGTGACTAGACACTCTGCTGCAGTGGAGCTTTGAAGAATGTGGCAGCAGGACGCTTTATTTCAGCATAACTCTGACTGTTTAGTTCACACTGATCTTATGGGTGGACAGTGGAGAAGTGAATTATGTTACAGCCGTGGTTGGAGGCATTTCTTTTGGTGGTTTGATACTTATTCCCCACACTTGTCACCATTGAAATCCATTGTAGTTGAGCGAGTAGAAGCTGAGAACACCAGCTGTTCTTTGTGAAGAAACATGTTACAAACCTTTTATAGCTACCTTTCAAGTCTACAAGAGGCAAGAGCTCCATATTCCAGACATATATTTTGGGCAAGGAATTGCTTTAAGCCAGCAAAAGCTCACAACAAATTTCAGTGGAATCTTAATGGTTTTCTAGGTGTTATATGGCTTCAAATCCATAAATCATGAGCATATGGGGAATAAAGGCTTCAACTACGAAATAAAAACACACAACATAAAACCTCTAATAGTTACTTATCTAGAAATGTGTTTTCTGTGATCAAGAAAGGCAACATTTGAGCTGGGTACTGATAGTGATGCAGATACAACACCTTTGTTTTCCCTACTGATTTATTAAAACCTGATGCTATAGACACATTTGAAAAGCAGCTTTATACAATATGATTATCTATTTTTGATCTAAACTAAAACAGAGCTAAATGGTGAGGGAAAATGGACTTACATTGATTAGGTGAACACAAACACGATGACAGATGAATGCTAATGTTCCTTTGTGTCTGCTGGATATGCAAATACACAACTGTTTAAAGTGCTATCATAATGACTTTAGAAGGTGCTGATGTATTTGGCCTAGAAAACCATTAATGCAGTTTTAATATAGAAATAAATATCAATGTACTGCAGGGGGCTCTGAGGGGAGTTGTATTTGTCAATTCTCAGCTGGTAACCTACAGGGGCAAGTAGTTGAACCATTTGATTTTCCATTTGATTTGGTCACAAAATGTGATCCGATCTTCATCCAAGTATATATACAGTATATAAGTATTAGGGAGGATGATATGAGTTTTTCTCAATATGATTCAATGCGTGTGTGGAGGATCCTGTCAGTTTCCATGACAGATGATCAGTGGTCTCCAGGAACACAACTTTTGATGCATGGTGTATACGATTTGATTCAGTCACCATACAATTACAAATTCAATGACAACAATATACGACTATCTGAGGAATACTTGTACTTTATTAGTCCTTCTTCCCCTTTTCTAGAATGGGTTGGTTTGATTATACTAGTATAGCTGTACAGTGAGGACCTCACAACCTTGGGGTTGTTTGACAATTAAAACCTGGTTTTAGGGTTAAGGCTAGTATCAGGTTTAGGTTAGGTTTAAAGTAAGATTTGGGGTCAGGCATTGAGCTGTGGTGGTGAAGGTTAGGGTAAGGGGCTAGGGAATGTATTATCTCAATGAGTGTCCTCACAAAGACAGCATGTCTGTGTGTGATTACGCATACAGATTTGTATTTTTATCTCACAAAACTGTTGCATGATGCATGCAACAGTTTGTATGTGCCAGTGTACAAACAGTGTGTACGTGTGTGTTTGTGTAAAACTCTGTTTACAAAACTTGATGTGTGGAGGATCTTGTCAGTTTCCATGACAGATGATCAGGAACACAACCTAGCAGCTTCTCAGCTGCAGGACTGTCTTGTCTGTGTATATACCGTATACCACGTGCACATGTATAAGCCACTGCAGTATAATCACATTAGTTGAATTCCATAGCGTCTGGTATTACAACAGCGTACAATTATTCTGTAAGGTGTTCAAATTCTGCTTGTCGATGGCAGTAGTTAAACTGGGATTCATGAGGAGGGGAAGCCCTTGGGTCCAGGGGTTGGGGCAGGGGTATACATGTAGCCTACTGACCATGTCCTAACATTTCTCAAACAATTTTTATTTCAAATACTGTCTACTTTCAGAGGGGCACTGAGGGTAGTTTCCTGATCCTCACTGCTCAACTTATAAAAGCACTGCTAGTTATTCTCTGATATTTTGTCAGAATAAAAGTTTTAAGCTGCAGCATCAGTTTTCCTTAATTATATGCTGCCTCTTTTAACCACTGGTTGAGTTACCATTTGCTATAATCTGTTTGTTCAGTAAATGCTTCGTTACACAACTACACTGTAATTGCAAACTTTCTGACGGACATACAGTGATGGAAATGTAAATAGACACACTTGGAATACACAGTAAACAGTTGTTTTTCCTTTTTTTTTTTTTTACTTTAGTTAAACACCATGACACACCTAAAACTTTATTTAAAGCATCTTTAAATTGATATTCAGCAGATTTCTTTACCACTTTTTACTCACAATTATTTCTTAACCTGTAATCTATCGGTTTATGATTTAAGGCAGAGCGGTTAAACGGCTGCATTGTGCTTTAAGAGAAAGCACACAGCCCAGTTCCTCACTGTACCCATGTCTACAAAGCTGGACTAGCTTGAACATGATGCTAGAAATGGTTAATTAGCCACACAGCTAGTGCGTGATACTGTTTGTATTATTTTATCCACCCAATTTAGTACATCAGTGACTGCAGGCTATGTAACAGAAAATTGCCATTCTCAGTAAACTGGCCACTGACTATAAATTCATTCATTCATATTTATAACAGCAAGTCACAACACAGACTCAACAATAATTGCAAAATCTAAAAAATATTAACAAACTCTCCTGACTTTAATTACCAGGTGAACACAAATCAGTCATAATCTGTCATTCTTACTGCAGATGTTGACTCACAGCTGGCAGGTACAGGTGGCACAGGGAGGAGCATGGGGGCAGCTCTCAGGCAAAAGGTCCACCGGAACTTCATGTGGCTTTTTACTCACTGATGTTGTGGCGCTTACGGTAACAAGCATAGTTGTGGTCAACCTGAGTAATAAGTGTCACTTTACCAAACTCTCTGCTACCTCTGCTGTCTGCTGTGTGCGTAGGAGCCTTTCCAGCACTGCCTCTGCTCTTTTTGCTCAGAGTTTTGTCTATTTGTTCTCTGCTGGCTCAGCTAGCTACCTCTCAACAAAAGTCTACCTACTAACGTGCTACTACTGGGAGTTGGGGGAAGGAGGATGATATAGGCTGGTAGGGAGATCAAAGAAGGCTGCTCAAGCAGCCTGCAGAGGGACCAGTGCCAGGGTGGACAGGTGGAAGATTTTTCCCAGTGTGGTCCAACGGGCAGTCTGACTACACTGCTTAACAAACAGCTCACATAAAATATTAGCTAACTGACTACCAAACTCCTGGAAACCTACTATTATTCGTGTCATTGCAGACCAGAACCAGCACATGTGTGTGCACGTCTGGTAACTCATGAAATTTTATATCATTGCTTTGGTGTTAATAGATGTCACCGCTAACATCTCTCCCCTTTGGAGGGGAATCTACTTAAAAGGTCAAATTCATGGATATGGGACAGATGTGAGGTCACTGACCTTGACCTTAGACCACCAAAATTGAATTAGTACAAAGTAGACACCTGAGCCAAATTTTAAGAAATTCCCTCAAGGTGCTCCTGAGATATCGGGGGCGGCTGTGGCTCGGGAGGTAGAGCGGGTCGTTTCCTAACCGGAGGATTAGCGGTTCGATTCCCAGCTTGTCCAGTCAACATGTCGAAGTGTCCTTGAGCAAGACACTGAACCCCCAGTTGCTCCCGGTGATGTCACCAGTGTGTGAGTGCTTGGGAGTGCGAATGGGTGAATGGCCGAATAATGTGAAAGCGCTTTGAGTGTGCTGTAAAAACATAGAAAGGCGCTATACAAGTATAAGACCATTTACCATATTGTGTTACGGATGAATGGACAACCTGAAAACATAGTGCCTCCAGTCGGCACGGCAACTCCCTTTTAAGTCTCTTTTTCTTTTCTTATGTGCAAAGAGAAGTACGGTATATAAAAACATTCAAGCTCTCAGCACTAGACATCTCTGACCATTTGCTGGTTAAAATGCTAAATGTAGCTGTCATTATTGTTAATTGGTTTTGTGACAAAAGACCAAAACCTGGCTGGTTAGTTAATGTGTTTGCTGCAAACCCACAGACTCAAAGAAGGCTGAATACTCTGAAGTATTTTTGGTGCCATCACAGACAACAGTCTGCCTCTCCCCAGAGAGCTCTTCTCTTCTCCCCAGAGAACAAGACGGCCGACTCGAGGCAACTGTGAGTTGCTGAAAGGAAAGTTCTGTACTGCACAGTAACTTGACCAAAAACAAAAACAACAACAACAAAAAAGTCTTATCTAACCACCAGAGCAGGGGTGGGCAATATATTTCTACAGAGGGCTACATCAGAAATCTGACAGCACCAGGGGCCATGCCTATGCAGTTAACAAATGCCTAGAGTGCTTTGTAATGGAAGATATTAGGTACTACATGTGATTTCTGCTTAAAAATACGTCAAGTACATTAGCGGTTTGTTGCACCAATATGTTTGAGTCACTAGGCTTCCTTTAAACCTGTTTTGCCAACATAATCATTCAAGGAATGATTTTCTGAACAAAAACATGAAGTGATTTAGGCATTTAGGGATACCGTTACCCTGCCACAGTCACACAGTTACTGGACTATTTGCAAAACAAAATAATTTATTTCAAGAATTTTTTTTTACCCAAATCATTCACGTATCGTTTTTAATACAGAAGCACAAATTATATCTGTTACTGTTAATTACCTGTTTATATTTAAATTACTGTGCTTGAACAAGTGCACAAGTCACCACTGTAACAGAAATGCATATTTTAAAAATGCCAATATGCTCCATTCAAATTAAGCACACTGCTTTACAAGTCCACACACTGTTAAACGTCCTGCATTCAGCATCAACCTTTCTTTTTTCACTCGTCATCTTGCTAGCTGCACAGCGCGTGCATCCTAGCTAACTCTTCTTTCTTGCACATGCTCAAATGTCACACAGACGTCACACTGAAATGATGCTTTCACTTGTGTGCTGTGTATTTCTCCACTTCAAAATAAAAGTCACAGAATTAATTTCAGGGAGAAAATGGTTTATGGAATTTCATATCATATTAACCTATAACCAGCTAAAATTTTATTTGGATTTGTTTTAATCTCACAGGCCAGATGACACTATTCAACGGACTGAATCTGGTCCATAGGCCACAACATGCCCAGGTCTGCACTAGAGGATTTTCCTGCCAGTGCAAATGCAGTTCTTATCCAATTTTCCTCATGTGCCAGTCTATTGGCTCCATTTTCCTGCCAGTGCAATTTCTGCGTCACCTCATTCACAGTCATTATGCAGTTTTCCTCAGGCGCACGTCTACTTTTTTGCACATTGGTGTGTTTGGTATTTTCCTGCCATGAATGAATGTGCTTACACTGAGGTGAGAGCAAAGGTGCAGTTGAGGCTGTGTACATGCTAGTTAGGCAGCACAATGCCCCCTTTGGCCTGAAATAGCGATAACAATAACACCTCTTACCACCTCTTAATGCATTCAGGTACATTTGAAATTTTCCTGACAAGCACATGAGCTGGGAAGCACAAAATCAGGTATCCTCATGTGTTTTAATGGCCACAACAACTTCAAATTAACCCTTAAATCCACAACTGATCTGCTAGAATCCAGTGAATAATTGATTGTGAAATTATCTGAATAAGATAAATACACCAGTCCTCAGTATGTGGCTATAGATATGAATATGGTCAAAATTCATCTGTACTTACATGATGCAGCCAGGGTGCAAATTACTGAGCTGAGGAAGTGAACATCAGCCTTTGAGAATCACAATCTGACATGAAATCCAGGTGCAATAATTACACATAGATGCACATCATAACATAAAAGCAAGTCATGAGCCATGATAAACATAATGTACCCTGCAGATGTTCCAATCAGCTGACAACATATAAAATCAGTCTCATCTCTGTAAGCTGCTCACTCTGTTCATTTGCAATTTCCTCAAAAGGTCACATTTCATAAAGACATACCTTCATGTTACCATGCAGATATACTGTAATATGTCTATTTTTGTACTGTATGATGGTTTGATCCCAACAAACGTGTTTGTAGGTAGAGGTAAAGGAGGCAGTGGGTTTTTAACAGGCTGTTCACTTTGCAGACCACCGTCAGTTTGTGGCAGATGATCGCTTTTGGTGCAAGGCCTTAAGAAGTGATTACAAAATACTGTGTTTTTACTCTATTATTTTAATAAAGCAGTAAAATGTTTATAAAGTTACCTGTGAGACCCCTGTGGATTTCACACACTGGATGCAGCTGTGAGTAAATAGCACTATATAATTACTGCTGGTTACAGGATCAGACTTTCTTTCCTTTATGCACAAAAGCTAGTCAGTGATATTAGCAGAATACTGAGCGATGGTGTTGGCGCCATGGAGGGCCCAGGGGAGTCAGGCTTCCCTGCCAGACCAGTATGCCCTTCTTCTCCACCACCACCATCACCCATCACCCAAACATATCTAAATACAACATATTTCCTTGTCGAGTGTATTGATGGCACTGAAACTCACTTAAACATTTGGTGCCTTTACTGCTAAGTGTGAAAACTCATTTTCAACTTTGAAGAATGTTTTCACGGACCACAGAGATGCCTGAAAGGCCCTGCACCACTTTGCCCATGGTCCAATCACTGAGGTTTTAGTTTTACCTCTCAACTAACAAGGGAAGCCCTCATTTTACCTTGAAACCAGTACAAGTGCCTCTTTACACACTATACTTACAATGCTAATGACTGAGGTGTGAAGACAGACAATTAACCAACCACCTGGGACTTCTCTGTGTGCCTGCATCCCCTCCCCCCTCACGTTCCTGGTACTCAATTTTAGTACTACCTCCTGGGTGGTGCTGAAATTTAGCTCCCAGAATGCACCTGGGCACATTGCAGTGGAAACAAACTCAAAACCCGGGACGAACGTGCCACAGCTCTGGCATGTTTGGGTAGGTTCCTATAATATAAAAACCCCTATAATGAAATCTGCCTTTGTCACACATTGTGCCTGGATGGGCATGGTTGCATCCAATATGTACCAAAGCCAGCAGTCACCAAAATTGCAAAAAATTGTTGGACACACCCATATGTACCCTCCCCTGGAGTTTAGACTTGCATCTACTGCTGCACCCTATTTCAGGAAAATAAAGCCCAAAATGTTTAGAATGATGCAGCTGTAGTACCTGACCAGCCTTGGTTCGCTCACAGACAAAGGTTTCATAAACAGTGGCGAAGGTGGGAGCGTTGTCATTGATGTCCAGCAGGCGGATGTAGACAGGAACATGGCTGCTCTGTCGGGGTTTATCTGGAAGGTAGATACAGGAAAGAGCTCATGTTGAGAACAGTCAGTTCCACTTCCACACAGTTCCACACATTCACAGCTAGTACAGCCTCGACTGTTCTACTTCAAGCTCCCACTGAGCAGCTCGGTGCCTTGCTCAAGAGCACCTTGTCAGCAGCTGATGAAGTTAGAGTGGGAGTCATCCAATGTTCTCAGCCACTTTTTCCTCCTGCTCACTTCCTTTATCCTCCAAACTCACACATATACACCACAGATGAAAGATGAAAACATTAAAGAAAACCAATTAGGTTTTCAAAACAGCTTACACATAAATTGACCATATTTTTGAGCCCATGTCCAAGTCCAAATTTATAGTCCTGTAATTTTCACAGCATGTCTCAGTTCAAGCCAGGAAACCAATCAGGCTTCCATTTCACACTTGTGTCTGATTCAAATTGTTTGTGGAAACTGAGGTTATTTGATGTTAATGAAACCTGAAACCACATACAGTAAAATAGCATTAATTCTATCAGAACTAAAGGAAACAATATTTTGCGGGGTTCTCTTTTCCTTTTAATATTTCTCCACGATTACCAGAAAACCATCAGCAGAGACAAAACACTCAGCAGCACAGTGTGACCAAAAACTATACAGATAGATTTATGTTTTTTCTTTACACTGGCCGTAGAGTGAAAATGAGCTGGAATCTAAAATGCTACTTGTGTATTCAGTGTAGTATTAGCCATTTCCTGTGCTCTGTACATTTCTCATCAGGACATACTGTACAGAGAGCCGCATAATGAGCAGAGCCATTCCTTATCAAATGAAAGTGTCTCAGAGGTGCCTGTGGCTGGATCTCTTCCTCTTCTCTTTTTGATATACTAGCAGGGCATTGGCGTGAATAGGTATATTCATTCTACGGACAGATCAGAAACACTTAAAACAGACTGCTTAAATTTGTACATGCATCATTTCACTAGCTGGAACCTTGCCCTGGGATGGATAAGGGTGATGAGTGGATTATGGTGGATGGTTAGTGTTATTCCTGTGTAAATGTGGTTTGGTGAAAGCTTCGGGGATCTGAGCTGTTCTTGAATTTGGCAGACCCCTTGTGAGAGACGAAAGGAAGGCGAGAGGAGAGAAAGAAACAAGGGGAGGGTGGGTGGAAGCAGAAGCAGATGATGATGATAATAATGAGTGGTATTTACAGTGGTGTGAAAAAGTATTTGCCCCCTTACTGATTTCTTATCTTTTTGCATGTTTGTCACACTGTAATGTTTCAGATCGTCAAACAAATTTATATATTAGTCAAAGATAACACAAGTAAACACATCATGCAGTTTTTAAATGAAGGTTTTTATTATTAAGGGAAAACAAAATCCAAAACTATAGAGCCCTGTGTGAACAAGTGTTTGCCCCCCTGTCAAAACACTGGTTTATCGCACCTGAGTTCAATTTCTCTTGCCACACCTGTTCGCAATCAAGAAATCACTTAAATAGGACCTGCCTGACAAAGTGAAGTAGACCAAAAGATCCTCAAAAGCTAGACATCATGCCGAGATCCAAAGAAATTCAAAAACAAATGAGAAAGAGAATAATGGAGCTCTATCAGTCCGGAAAAGGTTATAAAGCCATTTCTAAAGCTTGGGGACTGCAGCGAACCACAGTGAGAGCCATTATCCACAAATGGCGAAAACATGGAACAGTGGAGAACCTTCCCAGGAGTGGCCAGCCGACCAAAATTACCCCAAGAGCGCAGCGACAACTCATCCAAGAGGTCACAAAAGACCCCACAACAACATCCAAAGAACTGCAGGCCTCACTTGCCTCAGTTAAGCTGAGTGTTCATGACTCCACCATAAGAAAGAGACTGGGCAAAAATGGTTTGCATGGCAGAGTTCCAAGACGAAAACCACTGCTGAGCAAAAAGAACATAAAGGCTCGTCTCAGTTTTGCCAGAAAACATCTTGATGATCCCCAAGACTTTTGGGATAATACTCTGTGGACAGACGAGACAAAAGTTGAACTTTTTGGAAGGTGTGTGTCCCATTATGTGTGGCGTAAAAGTAACACCGCATTTCAGAAAAAGAACATCATACCAACAGTAAAATATGGTGGTGGTAGTGGGATGGTCTGGGGCTGTTTTGCTGCTTCAGGCCCTGGAAGACTTGCTGTGATAAATGGAACCATGAATTCTGCTGTGTACCAAAATATCCTGAAGGAGAATGTCCGGCCATCCGTTTGTGACCTCAAGCTGAAGCGAACTTGGGTTCTGCAGCAGGACAATGATCCAAAGCACACCAGCAAGTCCACTTCTGAATGGCTGAAGAAAAACAAAATGAAGACTTTGGAGTGGCCTAGTCAAAGTCCTGACCTGAATCCAATTGAGATGCTGTGGCATGACCTTAAAAAGGCAGTTCATGCCCGAAAACCCTCCAATGTGGCTGACTTACAACAATTCTGCAAAGATGAGTGGGCCAAAATTCCTCCACAGCGCTGTAAAAGACTCATGGCAAGTTATCGAAAACGCTTGATTGCAGTTGTTGCTGCTAAGGGTGGCCCAACCAGTTATTAGGTTTAGGGGGCAAACACTTGTTCACACAGGGCTATATAGTTTTGGATTTTGTTTTCCCTTAATAATAAAAACCTTCATTTAAAAACTGCATGATGTGTTTACTTGTGTTATCTTTGACTAATATATAAATTTGTTTGACAATCTGAAACATTACAGTGTGACAAACATGCAAAAAGATAAGAAATCAGTAAGGGGGCAAACACTTTTTCACACCACTGTATACTGAGAAGGAAGAGGTTGGCCGGGCGGGTCCCACTCCTGAACTTCAGATTTAAAATCTCCATTAGGGTTATTTCTGTCTCTTCAAAAACTGTCCCTTTTTTCAGATAATCTGCAGACCTGTGGTGAGATTTAATAGCAACTACTCTATTTCTATTGTAGAAAAAAAGATTTTGCATTTCCATAAGTGGGGTAAAACTATGGAATAATTTAAGTGCGGACATAAAAAATAGTAATAGAATTGACGAGTTTAAACATAAATATAAAGGTATGTGTCAATCAAGATATATGCAAGAACAGGTTTAATGATTAATTAGATGGAACATTGTGGGTGTTGTGTATGAATGTTAACACTTTGTAACAATTCTTTAGTATATTACTTGTGTGGTGTAGAAGATAATTATGTAAGAATGTTAACACTCTGT